CAACCAACTAAAGAAGGACTAATTTCATTAAATGAAGGTGTAAGGCTAAAATTGTGAAAAGTTTGGACATTTTTCTGACGAGTGTTGGAACAAATGCAAAGCTTGATGAATGTTATGATTAAGATAAGGTAAAAGAAACATTTTTCTAGAAGATTGTGGAATCATCGAGGTACTTATGCATTAACGGGACAAACATTTGATATGCAAATATTATAATTTATGGGTTCATGAGTGAGTCTAAAAATCACATCTAGTGGATTCGAAGAAAAAACCAAGATACCTAAAGGGAACAAAGATCCTATGCTTGCTATTTCCATTTGCTTCATGTCAAAGAATTTGGCTGAATTCATTGCTAAATAAGTTGCAATGTGAAGTGCAAAAGCCATTAAACTTATGAATGACAACAAGTCAACCATAAACTTAATCAAGAATCCAATTTCACATTGGAGGAGTAAACATAGAAACTGGGTTTCACTTCATAAGAGAGAACATCATGAATGAAAAGTTTGAGTTTATCTTATTGTCACTACTATGAAAAACACATATAGCAACAATGTTGAACAAGTGACGTCAAGCACAAGAGGGAGAGGGGGTGAATTGTGGCATTGAAAAACGTGATTAATTTTACCTTTTTTAATTAAGATCGTGTAAGTAAAGTTTTATTGAGTGAGTAAGCATAGTGTAAGTAAAGTAATGAAAATAAATTACCGAAAAATAAAGAGAATAAGGATAAAAAGATTTCACTTAAGAGTTGTCTAGGTTGGACCGAACGTTGGCCTAATCATGTCCCAAGAGGTCTTTTAAAGGTTATGCCCACATACGTTTTTGATCTTAATATTTTGAATATGCTTATCCCCAACCTATAGACAACTTTTACCCTGGCTTATTTTATTGAGGAAATTCAACATTTTTGTCTGATCCCTTTAACCAAAGCAAAGTTTTTTCTGATGAAGCTTAATAAACCAATAACATAGATTTATGGTTTATCTCAAGAACTAAAACTCAACTTATTAAAGGTATCACACCCTTAAGACTATAAACGACCAGCACAATCACTTACAAAAGTATTCTCTTTACAAATAAAATTTCACTTCAAAGCGCTAAGACAACTACAAGTGAAGAAATAAATTTCTAGTAAGAGAAGGATAAAAAGTAGAGAGTAAATTGCAAAAAAATATGAAAATGTTGGAAAGAGGTGTGATTTCAAGTGAGGAAGTCACCCATTTATAGAGTAATTGAAATCATCAAAAAGGAAACGATCCATGCGCTAAATTAATTATCTAATTGATTTCTTAACCAATTAGAAACGTCAAATATAATTGTTTATGTTGCCCAAATAGGAAGGTTCATATATAGAGCTGTTTCAAATTATTTAGGCTCTGAACAAATTTCTTGGGGAAAAAGTTTGGACTAATCTAACCGATTGGACCAAAGGCTTAATCGATTAATTAAGCCAAATTTTTTCCCTTAGGATATTTCCTCAGCTCTTAGGTCATTTGATACAACTTTAAGGTATTTTTGAAATTGTTTTATTTTTTGATAAAATAGTTTTTAGTGTGTGTGTGTTAGTTGCCTTAGTACTCTTAATCTACTACCTTACTTTTATAGTACTCAATTCACTCAAACACACCGACAATCAAGACGTGTTGAGCTTTCACACATTTCTCCAAAAAGGCTTCGAGACTCTTGCTAGACAGTATCTGATTGTATAGGGACTTTGATCTTGAGTCCTCTTCTGCAAGCACATATTAATCCTCAGGTGTTGTCTTCATCAAAAATTCAGATATTGATCTTTATTACATGCAAGCACATAAATCTATAAACGGATGTGAAATACGTATAATGATTGTTGTATGACTGTTGTTAGGTAGCGTGTGATTGTAAGTATGTTGTTTTCCATCACTGGCGTGTGACCGTGGTGACGAACAAGGTAACACACTACCTATCGCAACATATATCTTAAACAATCACTTATATATATATATATATATATATATATATATATATATATATATATATATATATATATATATATATATATATATATATATATATATATATATATATATATATATATATATATATATATATATATATATATATATATATATATATATATATATATATATATATATATATATATATATATATATATATATAAAGTTTATGGGTTCGAAACCAAACTGCAGTAGTTTAATTAAAATAAAATTAATATTTCACCACGGTTATGACAGATAACCGTTGTGGTATATATACACGAGTTTATTATAAAATTTGTGAATTTCTTTTTTTTCTCACTCCTAACCAAGTAGATACAACCATTCAAATTGATGTAGAAGATAATACTCTAATAAATTAAATTATTCTTGAAAAACAACTTAAACAAACCACTAATTTTCGAATTGTATGCATCTTGTAATTCATATTTCACTTTTTAACATATAGAAATTGGTTCAATGACCTAAGTTCTTCATAACAACGGTTCCTTCTCTCTAGTTTATTTTGAAAAACATCAATTTGTTGACTAATTCAGATTAATCATGATCACTATCATCATAATTATATTTTAAATGATTATTATTATTATTATTATTATTATTATTATTATTATTATTATTATTATTATTATTATTATTATTATTATTATTATTATGATCGCAGTGATGATGATGAATCATAATTACTCAATAAATTAATTCTTTTCAAATTAAACTAGAAGAGAAGGAATTGTTGCTATAAAGATCTTAAGTCATTGAACATAAATAAATATGTTAAAGAGCAATAGATGAATTACGAGATGCATGCAATTTGAAAAACATTGATTAATCTAAGTTGGTTTTCAAATATAACTTAATTTTCAGATTATATTTTTCTAAATAAATTTAAATGAATGCATGTTTAAGAAAGGGTTAGTTAAACAAACAATCTACATACAATATACTATTAGAAAATTCACTTTTAGTGACTGAAAAATTTAACAATAAAACATATATTTATATAAAAATAATGTCATTTTATATTTTTATTTGCATAAAAGTGAATTTTATTTTCATTATACAATATTTATGTGTGCATAATAAAATCAAATTTATATAGTAATTTTCTAAATTTTATTTAGATTTTTTATTTCCTTGGTATATGTATATATGTTTAAATATAGAATATAATAAAATATATTATGTGGTCCAGTCGTAAGGCTTTGTTAAAATTCTCGGAGGTCTCAAGTTTGATTCTTAGGATTGACAATTTTTATTTTTATTTTACTAAAACCGGTCGCTAAATTTTGGTCGCTAAATCCGTTACAAAAGCTTAGAGACTAACACTTTTTCAAACAAAAATTGGTGGTCCCTAAATCGGTCACAACCAGTTTAGTGACCAATTTTTAAGCTTTTTTGATCTCAATTTCGATCACTAAAAACGAATTTTCTAGTAGTGATATAATAAAGTCAACTGGATCTTCTGTTAATCTACATAAGAAATTAATTCTGCAAGATTAAAGAAACAAAACATTGCTAAGTCACAAGAAGGTTTTTTCTTGTAACTTAGCAATATTTTGTTCTTGTTCTGAGAAACATTTATCATAAACATACAACAACATTTATCAATATTTATCAACATAAAACCACATATCAATTCATAAAATGTTTCAAGGACGTATCATTTATTGAAAAGATTCGTGGAAAATGAAGATGAAGAAATGATTAACTTGTCTAAGAAATGAAGCTAATGTTGATTTAGTTTATGTTGCTATGAAGAAAAAATACAAGGCTCGTGAAGTTTTCACAATAACTTCATCCTTCTTGTATTTTTTTCTCCATAGCAACACAAACCATTTGTGAACCACATTCATAATATACGCTTTCTTGTGTTAATTTTTTCATTCACCTTCTCTACAAGTCATAAAAACATGCCAGATGTAAACATATTTGGAAACATAAACTATTGAACCAAATTTGGAAACGTGAACTCTTTTGAACAAGATTCGCAAATATAAACAGTTTTCAAAAAACACTATGCCAAATGTAAATCCCCTATAACACCAAATGAAATGAATTGTTCGAGGAATGACGTGCCTTGAAAGTATTTCAAATGGTGAAGAAAATTAGAACCTATATAAAGAAAAATAGAAGCAAGTTTAAGAATGAGATGAAGAAATATAATGAATAAACAATGTTGAACTTGATTATCTTTTAGTATGAAAAAGAAAAATGACGATTTCTGCATGTGAAATATCGAAGAAGAAGAATAAGATAGAATATGTTAGGATTTTGTTTTGAGAGAGACGACGCTTATTTTATCAAGAAGCGAGAGTTAAATTTGTTTATATATAAGTAAAATATTCCACCACAATTGTATTATAAGAATTGTGATGAAAAAAAGGCTAAAAAAATGAGGTGTTACTACAATTAACTAAACTATCAATGTTGCTAAATATATTTTGTAGTAGTGTGTTCAATAACATTACAGCTTACATATAAGTTCACTAAGATTTTGAAGATAGCAGATTTGTGTTCTAAAGATTACAATTAAAATTGATATATACTTAAATTTATAGATTAATATGGGTGTTAAGTACTGTTAATCCATAACCATTTAAGTCCTAGGTTGTTATGGAATTGCATTTTGTGGCTTTAACATCTAGGTTGGTTACTTAACCAACAAAGTTATATAAAGATATTGTATATTCAGTTCTAATTCAACTCAATAATTAATCACTTTATGCACTACATTCCATCTTCTCTATTGCATATGCATTCTTGCTTCCTTCATAAGAAATAAAGTGCTGCCGCGCTAAGCCGCTAACAAGTGTTAGAGACTAATTTCACAATATTTGATAAATTCAAAAATGACACTATTTTCTCAATAATATTTTTTATGGATCATTTTGCAAGTAATATATTATTTACTCATAAAATCGTTTTATCTTACTTGTACGAAATAATTTGTAGAAATAGATAAAATCTTGTTTGGATTATAATTTTGGAATATGCTTTGCGCAGGACATATTTACCGCAGGAACAGACACATCTGCTATAACAATTGAATGGGCTATGGTTGAGTTAATAAACAATCCACATGTGATGCAAAAAGCAAGAGAAGAGATTGATTCAATAACACAAAAGAGTAGATTAATACAAGAATCAGATCTTCCCAAACTTCCATACTTGCAAGCAATAGTAAAAGAAACCCTAAGAATCCATCCTGCAGTACCAATTTTAGGGAGAGAATCTTCTGAAAGCGGCGTCGTTTGTGGATATGAAATTCCAGCAAATACTATTTTATTTGTTAATCTATGGTCAATGGGAAGAAACCCTAGAGTGTGGGAAAATCCACTTGAGTTCAAGCCAGAAAGGTTTATGAGTGAAGATATTAAGTTTGATGTGAGAGGACAAAATTTTGAATTTATGCCATTTGGAACTGGAAGAAGGGCTTGTCCTGGGACCTCATCAGCACTTCAGGTTGTTCCAACAAATCTTGCTGCTATGATTCAATGTTTTGAGTGGAAGGTTGATGGTGATGGAAAAGTTAACATGGAAGAGAAAGCAGCATTGAGCCTTCCAAGGGCTCATCCTTTGATGTGTGTGCCTATTCCTCGTTTTAATGGCTTTCCTTTTGGTGTGTAGAATAAGAATAAAATGGTACCATATTTAGCTATGAATGTAATTATATGTGTGTTCTTTTGTGTGTGCTCCTGGAACTGTACCAAGGATGGATATTTGTTTACATATGATATGTATGTTCTTTTGTGTGTACTCTAGTATTTGTGTCAGGAATAAATATATGTTCACGACCATTTGTTTTTCTTTTCATTGCTATATGTAACAACTAAAATTAAATTTTGTTCTTAACTTAAATCAGTCTCATATGTATGATAGCAGAATAGGCGAAAGAAAGTTCCTTGTACAAAGCTGTTAAAATGGGCTATTAAAAAAACCAATAAGTGTAAGGCCTAGAGATCAAATTCTATGATCGAATTGAAAAATATTTTCTAGCAAATTTGTAAAAGTTCAAGGAGATTGCTCATTGCACCCTTTCAAATTCTATCAAAACTCGAAATTACTTTTTCGCACCGTTTAGACGTTAATATCTATCGAATCTTATTGAAACTCGAAATTACTTTTTTGCACCGATTAGAGATTAAAATCTAGATGCACCACAATCCAAACAATATTTTCAGGAGAAAACGCACTCAATGCAAGTAAACAATTGCTTTTGGCAATTGAATTTTGGACACACCCTTTAGAATTCAAACAATCACAATTTCTGCATAACCCTATGTTAAACATTTACACTTATGATCATAACACATATTTTATTTAACTCTTTGTGATACGGTTGCAGAACCGACTGTTTTGAAATGCTGGTTTGCATTTTGCATTTTGTGTTCGCAAAATGTCGCGGTAAGCAAGAGTCACCACCGACTTTTATTTCATCCAATTAGAAAGGAAAAAAGTATAGAAAAAATCATTTTTCGAGATATTCTGAGTACGGGGGATAGATTATAGAAAGGGAAGGTGTTAGCACCCTTTCTATCCATGATTTTCCATGGGCTCTTAGGTACTTGCTCATCTTTTTAAAATTGCTTGTGTATGTGCTTTGTTTTTGAAAAGAGTTTTAACTTCGTGATAACCCTTGTATCAATCCTCAAGGGTGTGACGAAGTTGTTTTGAAAATTGTTTTGAAATGTGTAAGTGTGAAAAGTTTTGATTTTGAGCAAGTACCTACTAGCATCTACCTACTCGAAAAAGATCGTTTCTATTCTTGTTTCCTTTAGACAACGCCATCCCACTATTGAGAAGTAGGTGGCACCATCGTTGGATTTGTAAGAGTCAACTCGAAAGGGACATACGATCACTAAAGCAATATTAGGACACCTCATAATAACCCTAGAGTCTTAAGATCATATTCGAGGCAACATTTCCGAGGCAACATTTCTGAGGCAACATTCGAATGGGACATTTGATCTTTTTTAGACAGAAGGGCAACCACTAAGACACCTTATGCTTAATGATCGTTTACCGAAGGCAACCGAAGTGTGAGTATACCCTAGGAGTGCACATGTGCGAGTGCTTTGATTTCAGTTATTTGTCTTTGCACATTAGAGTTTTCTAACTGTATTAAATTATCATGCAATCTTGTCATACAACCTTATTAGCATACATCTAGACAGTGAAATATTTCCAGAGATTAAGATGCGAGAAAGTAAATCTACGCTATTACAAGGCTTCGGGGAGGGGGATTAATTACATAGCCAAAAACCCAGAATAATAAGTGATAAGTAAAAGCCCTAAATTAAACTATTACATACCAGTGAGCAGTTACAACAATATTGGCAAAAATAAATAATCAGCGCGCGGCGAATTAAATGCGAAGCGACTAGGGTTTTGACCCTTGACTAAACCTAATTGTAATTGATTAAAGTAAACATGTTTTTTTTCTTCATTTTTGTTATTTAAGAAAAGTAATGAAATAATTGAATTAAAAAAGAAAATCCTAAATTCTAATTAATTTTAATTGTGAAAGAAATTAGAATTGCCTTAAATTAATTAAACTAACTAATTAAAAAAATATTTATTAAGAAAATAAGTCTTGTTTTTTGTGAGTTTTGGTTGGTTAATTTTTAGAAAAAAAATAATTTTGGTGTTGGTAAAAAAAACAAAATAATTAAAGAAAAGAAAATTTAAGGAAAAATAATGGAGATAACCAAGTGAGCCTGCTGTCAGCAGATCTGGCTCTAGCTGATGAGGTCCAGAAGATGGTGGCCCTCAAAAGATAGGGGTATTGGATCTGATTCTGGCAGGTGGATCCAACAGATGATGACCCTCAAAAGATGGGGGTGCGCTGGATCTAGTTCTGGGTAGGATGTAGAAGATGATGGCCTGCACGTGCAGTGTCTGATTCTGACTGGGATCCAGAAGATGATGTGTTGGATCTGATCCTGGATAATGGATCAGAAAGATGGTGCACTGGATCTGATGCTGGCTAGTGGATCCAGAAGGTGATGATCCTCAGAAGATGCACGTGTTGGCTCTGGCGAAAACAAGGGAGAAAATACCAAAAGCTCACGCCTGTGATCGAACCCAGAATAATGAGCTTCTGACTTCTTTCTTCTGACCAACTGCGCTGGACGTTAGTTTATCAATATAATATAAACAAACAATATATATCAGAACAACAAGTTTCTGGCCAGAATAAACGCGCCAGAATTTGAATCAGCCAGTCAGGCTGTGACACACTATCATTTTCTTCCCTGGAATCATCGTTTAAAGTTCTGAACTTTTACCTACAAACACTTACTGTGGGTACATCCCTATGAAATTCCAAAATCGTGTATGTTTAAGATAAATCATCATGGCTGGTACCAATCAATTCGTTTCATCCTCACGAGTCTCATGGTACCAGAATCAACGCTCAATTTTGCCTATCCTACAAAGCCCCAATCAAGAACACAAAACCTTAGCTATGGCAATTTCATGTACATGCATTAGAAATACAATTAAATGGTGCCAAAAGCTTGCAAACTCAATGACAAACACGAATATTTCATTAAAATATGCAATGGATGAGTGAATTGATGTAATCGAATTTGAGTTGGGAAGCAAATTGTAATACCTATATCTCACAATCCCAGGCGTGAAAAGGCTTGGATTTGATTAGAATCTACTCCTGGAACGCCCAGTAACTTCTTTGCAACGTGAGAAAAGCACGATCTGGTCTCTAACACAAAAGTTGGATCACCACTTTTCTTGCAATTTTTTGAGTTTTTCTTTCACCTTTGCACGACTGCTTCCACCCCTCTTTTTGCCTGCCCTTGTTCACTATCTATAATAGAGTGTATTAGGGTAAAAATTTGCATCAAATCTTTGCCCTTTATGAAGATTGACCATTGATTTATTCCTTGCACCAAATCTTTCCAAAATAAGCATTTTCAATCTTTTTATGTCCATATGAAGCCTTGCACGATTTGATCTTGCCACCAGCTGTATAATGACTCTAAACATGCACAAAATCTCAAGGTTTAATTGATTTTTGATATTTTCATTATTTTATATTGATTTTGTTTGATTTAAATGAAATAAAATCAAAGTAAATAATAAAAATAAAAGAATGACAAGTGGAAGGGCTCATGGGTCTTGGATCACATCACAAACTCAGTGCAAGCATAAAAAGTTAGGCCCATTTAGCAAAAAATGCAATTTTGGACACATTTGACTTTTGGCAATTTTGCAAAAACGGTCAACTTTGACAAGGCATATCTCTTTCAATTTTGATCCTATGAGGGTGCTCTTGGACTTTTTAGAAATCTTAGGATGTCCCCTAAGCAACCTTTTTGGTATCATCTTAATTGAGTCTTCCATACTCATGTTATGAAGCTTTGACCCAAAAGGTGATTTTGTTGACTTTTCAAAATGACCTATAATGTCAAAATTCATATCTTTTTGTGAGTGCATAATTTGAACTTGAGGTATGAAGATGGACAGTAGGGAATTGTATCCTCTTCATAATGAGCTTTGGATGGGCCATTTCTGATAAAATATGATAGAGTTATGCTTGGTCAAAGTTCAGTTGACTTTTCCTACAAAACCCTAATTTAGCAACTTTTGGATTTTGATGAATTGTGAGCAATCCTTCAGGAATCATGTTCAAACCTTGATCAAATGATGAATAATACTTCAAAATAAGGATGTTGACCAAAAATCTTGAAGTTTAACTGTATGTGGGCCACAGTTGACTTTTGGCCTAGCATAGTTGATTTGCAGGCATTTGAGCAATTGACTGAGCAAACTTCCTCTACAAGGCTTGAAACTTGAGATGGATAATTTTGAGAAAACATTAGGGCCTTGGAAGGCATTTGGTATCCTTTGGACTCAAGCATCTTGATGAAAAACGAAACCCTAATTTGAGGTAGACTGCCTTAGGAGAGAGTTTGTCTGGTCAACTCTTGGACTTCCTTGAGCAATTTGGGGACGTCACTTGACATTTGTTGAGAAATATGGGAGGGAAAATTTTGGGGTACAACAGCTTCCCCTGTTCAATCTTCTTAAACCTGAAGATGTAGATTGGTTGTCTGCCTTTCGTGATCTGAAGGTAGAAGATGATTGAACACTACAGTGCCCAGAAATTTGCACTCGCATGAAGTGATACTTGACTTGTGATATCGGGAATTGGCTTATAGATGTCATTTGGTAGTTTTTAGAGAATTGTTAGATATGGGCTTAAAGATGCCATTTGGTTGTTGATAGAGAATTGTCGGAGATGGTCTTAAAGATGCCATCCGAAGAAGTGTCGATCGCATAAGAGATTCCTTTGCGAGAACCCGTGTACCTGTTGTTGAGGAGGACTTCACTGGGGAATACTGGTCTATGTCTTGAGGGAAATAGAGTTTTTAGAAGCTTCAGTTGTCCGTTACTCTACTGGGGAATAATTTCGGTTTGGGAAGCGGAAATAAATTGTGTGTTTGGTCAGGGTACATGCTGCATCACGACTTACTGGGGAAATGTGAAATCAATTGTGTTTGATTGGGTCCCGGTCTTACAGTGTTGTGGATTGTTGTCTGGAGATAAGGGAGACCGAACCCGGATAGTAAGGTTATAAGAAAGAACCTAGATAGTAGGGTTACTTC